GGTCCTAGAATTATGAATACTGCCAAAGAATCTCACGAGACTCGCTTCCCGACAACCTATGCTAACCTTAACGATTCGGGGTCAATGCCCAACCTTAACCCAGCTTGCTTCGCAAATTGAGGGTTACTATCTAAACACAGCCACAGTTTTGGGACAATGAAGCTCTTTTGCACAGAGGAATAAGATATATCAGGCTTAGCAGGATCAGTAATATCAGTTCATTGTGGATTTTGATCTTTTCTGGGACAGTAGAATAAGAAAAATGAAGCCTTTAAAATAAAGTTCAGTGTGTTTAAACAGTGTTTGGCTGCACAGTGTGGGTTTGTTATGATGGTCCTGCTGCTGGAACCTGATCTTAAAGAGGACAAATTCTTAGTTCTCAAATGTCCATAATATCTTTTAGAATAAAAGCAAAAGACCAGGTGAGTTAAGAGTTTCCCATCTACTGTGCCATTTGGTATCCGTGACTTATGGTGGCCGAAATGTGCAAATGTGCTAAATACATGCAAATGAAAACACAACGGAAACAGGGACACTAAAAAGTGAGGCACACAGCTGGGACCCGAGTGCTTGTTGACTTTCAGGGATTATAAAGTTGGCCCATATTTTATTGTTGTTGGAAACTTACACCTCACATGTGAGTTGTATTGCCTTATTTCAACAATGTGATAGCATGATTCCTTCCAATATCGTTTAGCTAAGTTAGCTAGTCCTGAATGTCAACAAGGACATGGTTTTGTGTTTTGTGTTGCCTGCATGGGTTCTGTTTCCGATTCTTGCAAGGTTTTTATTTGCAGCATTTTAAATGTATTTGCAAAGTTTTGTTCATGCAGCGCTTTTAGTAAACCCTGCGCATGTTTCGTCAAGTTGGTCAATGTTTTCGAAACCCTGCGAGTTGGTGAAGAAGTTTCTTCAATTTCATGTGTTTTGGCCATTTGTGTTTTTCTATTTGAATCATTTCTGAAGATGCAGTGGGTTTCTCCTAATGGAAATGTTTTGGGCCGTTGTAGTGTGTTTTCACCTGTCGGCCACCTAGTGCAGCTAACAAAATCCTTTCTATGGATAGGAAAAAGCAGAATACAGGTTTGTCCACGTTCTTTTCCCTGCAGTTGTGGAATGTGATGTGGACTTTATCTTAGCCAAGTCACCAGCTTTAACTAATATATACATGTCATATAGTTGTATACATGAACCGCTAAACGTGATCATAATCCAGCCAAGCAATTTGGATAGAGTTAATATGACAAAACAGCTATAAAACTCCTACAGTTCCTTCTGGCAAGTCCCTACTTTTTAACCAGCTTGGAGCAGCTCTGCAGTGCAAAGAATGTCTTTAGCGTGTGTGTGTGTGTGTGTGTGTGTGTGTGTGTGTGTGTGTGTGTGTGTGTGTGTGTGTGTGTGTGTGTGTGTGTGTGTGTGTGTGTGTGTGTGTGTGTGTGTGTGTGTGTGTGTGTGTGTGTGTGTGTGTGTGTGTGTGATCATATTCATATATATTTCTATACAGTATATTTCTCTCTGTATGCATGTGCACAATGCCTGCCTTGAGGCGTTAATGAGGTGCTGAAAATGCCAGGGCTCACACAGTCATAGTGATCTGAAGCCAAAGAACACCACAAAATACATAGTGGACAGATTTTTTTTTAAAAGGCAGTAATGTATAGCCAAACATAAGGAAAGGCAATTTAAGTCTTTCCTGGTTTTGATTAAAGTTAATATGTGTTGAAAATAAACAGTGAGGGGCTGTAAACCAGATTTCCATAACCTCCAGGGGGCTTTGGACCTCTGAATAGAAGGATAAAGGAATATATAACTATGGCATGGATCATGTTACTATAAACTGAAATAAGTACAGGACTTAAAGCCTGTTAGGGACAGATCGGCCTAATAGACCACCATGCTGTCCAAACCACCGGGACTACCTGCCCTTGCCACTCTCCTACTTTAAGATCTTGGACAATTGCTCTTCATACTAGTCAACTATAATATCTCAAACTTCTTTATGAGTCTCTTTGTTTGGATTGCAGCAAACTGTCCAAGTTTTCTTAGAAAAACAAAGTCTCTCCACTGCGGTCGGTTTTTAGCGTCAGTATAATGTTGCTGCTAGGTGAGAATTCTGCCAGGCAATTGATTGTTTTAGTAAAATAGTGCTGATGTAATTAGGAAGACATGGACTTTTTTGGTCTGTATATCTAATCAATGCTACCACCCAGTGGAGGAATGGTGAACTGATGGGTAGGAATATACAGCTCTGCAAAAGTATACAGGGGAACTGGTTTACTATAGCCAGGAAAAGGCTAGTCACTGTGACATTTTTACCTGTGCCGGACTATGGTGATTTGATATATATGAATGCACCTGCCCATTGCCTGGAAAGGTTAGATGCCGCCTATCACAGTGCGCTGAGATGTGTTACTAACTGTAAAGCACTTACTCATCACTGTACCCTGTATGCCAAGGCAGGTCTGCCTTCACTTACTGTTCGGAGGCTCAGTCATTGGTACATGTTTATCTATAAAGCCATGTTGGGTAAACTCCCAACTTATATATGCTCTTTGATCTCACAGAGAGTGGCAAGTAGCTATTGCCTGAGATCCCAGGATGTGTTTTTATTACATGTGCCAAGTGCTAGGACTGTTTTAGGTACTAAAGCTTTTATGTGCGCTGCTCCTCTAGCTTGGAACACTATGCAAACTTTATTGAAACTGAGCATTTTGGTTCCCTTGCATCATTTTAAAGCACGGCTGGATGAAATGTTATAAGATACCTGTCATTGTGAATAGGTGGCTAATTTATACCCCTGTAATTATGTTGTGATGTCCTTTTTGTTTTCTGTTGCTTTTATGTGTAACTAATGTACCTCAGGTCTCCCTTGAAAAAGAGATCGTGGATCTCAATGGGATTTTTTACCTGGTTAAATAAAGGCTACAAACAAACAAACATGAGCTTTTGATTCATGAGTAGGGTATATCTACAATCTTAGGGTCTTAATTAAAATCACCAAATCATGAATTTTTTGAATCATTTCGATCCAACCACTTACAAGTAATTGCTTTTTTACTGCTGCAGTTATTATTTTATCTCTCACTCTCTGTTATTCCTTCTGGTAGGTCACCCAAATAAAGAACTCCATATCTGTAAGCCCAGAAAATGTTGCATGGTTCTCCAAATATCCATCCAAAATGGTTGTATTTGGACGTGTCCACATTTTTTTTTCGGTAAATTCACTTTTTATATCAAATTACAATTTTCGAAAACACATATTTTGTCACATATGCTACAGCAATGCCTCTATGTACATACTCACTTCTCTAATGAGTTTAGTATCTGTTGCGTTTTGTAACTCTGCTGGATTAAGCTTTTCAATCTGATCACCAGTAATGGAAGATAATTCAATTTGTGGCCCAAATTGAAGGGAGACATCATGTTTTGTTGTACTTCCATATTTTTGTGTGCATATGTGTAATGTGGGGCTCGACTTGTTCTTGTTCAGATTTGGACCTGGGCATGATCTCAACTACAACCTTGTTCTGTGGCAAAATATAGTGTTACCACTACAGTGCAATAGCTGATAGACGCTAGACGCTAGTGATCTGATATGTATTGTAGACTTAAAGGAGAGCAATAACGAGAATGAAATAGTTAACATCACTAAGTGACAGCACAAATTAATGCTAATGTTGCTTTATGTTGGTTAAATATGAAAATGTACAAGAAGTTTACCCTAAAATAAGAAAAAATAGTTAATTATATTAGTTGCTAAAAATAAATGAATGCTGGTTAAATCACTATAACTACATTACTTGTAGTGCCTACCCCAAATGCTGTTTTGCACTGTTTTTAAAATAGTGATGCAGAGCTTTCATTTTGATTTGTGTAACCCAAAAAAAAAGTATTATGGGACAGGAATCTACTTTAAACGTTGCTAATATGCTAATATCTACAACTTTTCCTGTGTTAACCAACATGAGCTATGACTAATATGAGCTTTTAGCTTGAACGTGACTCAATTAGCTCTGGACTCAGCCTTGACTTTGTCTTGTCTGCATTTGGACTTGATTCGGACTCGCATGGATTTGTCTTGGTCTTAACTACAGCCCATATAGCTATACTACTATCGTGCAATAAGTGACATAATGCAATACAGACACAGCTATGAGTAACAGCAACCAGCAGAGCAACTAGATATCTGATCTGGGGTGTAGAAGTAGAAAGAAGACGTCCTCACTCTGTCATCCGCATGAATGAAATTCACAAGTGAGACTGTATTTGGACACAGACCACAAAAATATTAACAACATCACCCAGGCTTACCCAGTGAATGTCAGAGCCTGCGCACAGAGTGGTGTCCTATTACATGCAACAGCCATGAAGACCATGCTTTTTTACAGTATGTTGCACGTGGTAGTTAACGTATGACAAAATAAAAAATGACTAGAATCCAAAAGACATGATGATGATTGAAATTAATACTTTTATCATTTCAACCGGCTACTATATGGCCAAAAAAATATCCAAACAATTGGTAATACAGTGTAGTAGCTTTGTATACTACTCCTTATAAGACAAACATAGTGACATCAGCGCAAAAATAGTTTTAAATGCCAACACGTTTAGATTAGAAGGACTGGGTAATGATTTATCTATTGTTTTTTTTATATATGGTGGTTCCTTGCCTGCTGCTGTCACCAGTCCACCAGAGATGGAAAGAGACAGGAGGGGGATATCGTTATCTGCCAATGCAATGAAATCCAAGACGGTGCCTCATGATGCATGCCTCACACACTGCATATCACACACACACACACACACACACACACACACACACACACACACACACACACACACACACACACACACACACACACACACACACACACACACACACACACACACACACACACACACACACACACACACACACACATACACACACACACACACACACACACACACACACACACACACACAGTCACGCACACACAGTTAGCCTAATGCTCAAACGTACATTGAAAAATGCACCAGCAAACCAAAAGCGGAAAATACACACACACCTTAATATAGACAAGACATTTACACTCCAACACATACACACAGCATGGCAAGCATAGTTATTATTGGGAGCTCGCGTTCACTTTAGCTGTGCACACACACCCTCACGAGCTCTGGAAACAAAAGGTAAGGACGAGATGTCGAATAATTCCGAAACATATGTCATCTGTGTGTATTATAGGTTCATTTAAGCTGTCGGTAGCCAATGACAGAGGGGCAGGAATGTGCTTTTAAACTATGAGTTAATGAGTTTGTAACAGAGCATGTGTCTTCATAATTATGAATACCTGCCACTGATTTTATTTTAATTGCGGTGACCATGTAAGGAGCTTCAGTTATAAATGACTTAGGACTGAGGAGTGTCATTGCTGACTTACTTAAGTGTCTCTTATTCTATGTGTTTTTATGTTGGAATTCTGTTCTAAATTGTGTCAACACCTGTTTTTGGAGACTTTTACATTAAAAAAAGTTGGACCCCTTATATTATGATTAAAAAATATTAAAGACCTGACTTTTAAGAGTGGCATAAAGACATAAAACATAATTCTTCATTTAAAATGTTGAATATATCCCAATGAAATCCCAAATTCCTGCAGCAGCCCACTTTCTCCACACGGGGGCGGGGCTACACGTTGTTTATCCAATCAAAAAGCGCCTAGTAGTGTAACCCTGGTTACCGAGGAAGTGATATTATGGTATGTAGACATGGCAGCCTGCAGTGGAGGCATGCATATCAACAGAAGATTGTTTATCGGCGTTTTGTTGTGCTGACGCGCATCTAATGGAGCTTCGGAGATATTCGGCCATTTCCGGAAACTGTCGACGATACCGTGTGTATACATATTTAAGTTTTCGTTATCAGTACTTTCTTAAAGGTATTCTAGGGTTTTTCTTTGTTTGTATGGATTGGTTCATCAACACACCCATCGCGTAGACAGATGCTGTTGAATGGGCTGCTGTTAGACAAAATGAACGTTATACACGTACATTATAAGGTTGTATATCCAAGGACAAAAAACGTATTACTGTAGCATGCAAAATAAAGCCACTGTCAATGCCATGATATAGGTTCAGCTTCAGGGCTGAATCATTCTACAGAAAAGGTGGAATCTGGGTGATACAAATCTGCTGAAATATATTCCTTCTAAAGACATCTAAAACCTGTTAAATAGCAATAACTAACTCTTAACTTGATGAATCCACAACAAGTAGAGCTTAAAGTATTTGTATTATTTGTATTATTTGTATACATTATACAAAGCTTATTCATATAGGAACGTCACTGGTGTTACGTGTTATCAGGAAGAAGAGTAACACCAGTGACAATTTGGAGAAAACACCAATTTTTTTAACCAAATGGATGCCATGTGTCAGACCAAATATGGCTTCAGTCAATATCAAAATCGTTTAACTCTTCAATACAATACATTTTCCCATTCAAATGTTCACCCCTAGGGCTATGAAATGAGTAACACTAATGACAGACTTGAAAGACGCACGCATTTGAAGATAAAATGACACCTTTAACAAACAAAGTAAGAAGTATCTGACTTTCCTTATGTCTTTGTCCACTGCACTGCCTCAAATGATCTCTTGTTACAGGAAGCACTTCAGAGACAGTACATTATTTCAAAAATAAAAGCGTTTTGTGTAGCAGTAACACCAATGACGTAATTTTTGGTGACTGACATTTATTTGATATTATTAATAATAATTTGCGTTTTTTTTTTTACCATTTCAGTGTTATATATAATGTATGTCATGTTATGTACATATGAATGAGATTTATTTATTGAAAAAAAAATATTTTAAATGAAAATAGGCTCCACTTCCATGTATGATCAAAGTGACAAGGCAGTTCCTTGAACTTGGCATTTTAAATAAATTGCAATTTATGTATAAAACAATTTTTTTTATTTAGTACCATTGCAAAGACACTCTATTTATTCAACATATATAGTGAATGTGAGTATTAGGTCAACGTCATGTATTTTGGTGTCTGCAAAAGTAAGTGACAGTACTTCCACCTTTTCTGTAGAATGACCCGGCTACAACTATCAGTGGTGGAATGTAATGAAGTAGATGTACTCAAGTATTACACATTTGAGGCAATTGTCTTCAACTATTTCCATGTAAATGCTACTTTATACTGTACTTGCACTCCACTACATTTATTTGTGAGCTTTTTACACATTTAGGTTATAAGCTAAAACAACATAGAAATCAATTAAACATTGACATATCATTGTAAAGTTTAATTAAAATTTGCTCCACATTTACCAACTGTGAAGTACACATTAATGCATCATTAATCAGTATTATAATATAATATTACGCACAACGAGTACTTTTCACCTTTAGTTCTTTCATTATATTTTGACGCCAGTACCTGTGTACTTTTATGAAAAAGATTTTGAATAAGTACGATTTTGAATAGGGGACACGTACTTACAAAGTAGTTTTACAATTTAATATTGCTTCTCTTAAAATCTAGGTACTTCTTTATTGCAGCAAATGACAATATGAAATATTTTTATAAATATAATAATATAAAACAGCCACAGATAGGTTGAACAAAGTTTTTCATAGCCTTAGCAATGAGGCATTAATGCTTTCCTTTGTGCATCTGTATGTGTGCTGACATTGTATTCTATATATAAAGAGAACCAGTGATACCACTGGATTTTTGAATGTAAATTAAAAACGATAATAATGTTGGAAAGGCCAAATAAACTAAAAAGCAGGGTCATTTTGTCACATTAATTGAAACATCTATAGAATTAGAATTGAAGACTAATGCTAACTTTATAAACTCCAGCCAAGTAGCTAGAAAAACAGAATAGTATAATAAGATAAAGGTTTAATGTATCTTAACACTTAATTGGAAGTAAATTAAATAATACAAATGAACATTTCTAGTTAATTGAAGGCTACAGATAAACTAAAGCTTTGTATTTCTTTTTACACTCCATCTAAGCTATTGAACTAATCTTTATTGATGTATATCTAGTTTTATTTTGGATTCGACAAATAACCTTTTACTGTAGTTGTTAGGTTGATTGGATCCATACCTACAAGATTTTTGGGTACAAATAGGATAAAACCAAACCTGACATACCAGATGTCCCCACCAATAAACCACATTTTGATTCTGTATCCCCAGTTTAATCCAACACCAGCCCAGTCTTCACAGCCACCACCGCCATCATGCCCGGGGAGGACAAACCCCCACAGACCCGCCAGAGGAAGAAGAACAAAAAGTCCCGCTCCAAGGGGAAGAGCCCGAGCACCGGTCCCGGTGTGGTGGGCTCCATAGAGGACCAGGATGACCTCCTCTTACCCCCAGTGGCCCCGCCTCCCCCTAAAAAGGAGGATAAGCCCAAAGTGTCTGCGGCCAAAGTGGAGGATGAGTCCTCCATCGCTATCTGCCTTCAGGTGCTGTTTCCCTACCTGCTGGCCGGGATGGGCATGGTGATGGCCGGCCAGGTGCTGGACAATGTTCAGGTGAGGGCAGGAAACAGTGAAGTGAGAGTGCGAGCTTAACATCATAATGGTGACCGCTAGAGTTTTATTTTTATTTTTTTACTTTATTTTTTCACAGACATAACTTTAATATAATTCATGGAGATGTTGTACATCAGGGATAATCGTTCATGTCGTTCATGTCCTCCTTGGACACCAAAAGGACATACAATTTCTTGATGCTATCAATTTTATATTGTACAAACATTATCAACACATTACAGACATTATCATTCAACAAAGTACAAGCGCGAGAGCTGGAGTTTTTTAATTTAATTTTAAATGTATTTCATTTTGTATCTATTTATTATCATTTCTAACTATTTGTATTTTTTTATTATGTCTTTGTTAAATAAGGACCATGCATAAAATGTACAGCACAATTAACAGTAAAACTAAAATATTTAAATTAATTTCAACTAAAAATGTACAGTACAGCCAATGTTGTCACACACACACACACACGCACACACACACATTGTCTAACACGCTAACACAGTTCAGTGTACTGTTATGCTGTTATGTTCAGTCATTGTTCTTATGTTGAACATGAATACATTTACTTTGTAAGTAACTATGGGACGTATTTCTTCTTTCATAGCAATTTTCCTTCATACTTTCTTGCTGTGAAATAGGTCTTAAATTCTATTCAAAGTGGTCTTAAAAAGGTCATAAAAAGTCTTAAATTTGAGTTGGCGAAACCTGCAGGAACCCTGTGTCAATTCTGGTTGCTCAATATACCTTTTCTTGCACAGTGGTAAAAGAGTAAAAGTCGGTGCATGTTTTAGGCTCATCTGGAAGCACATTTTCAAATCAAACCAAATCAGATCAAATTGTATGTATAGCTCAATATTCCAAAACGTATTTGGTCTCAGTGGGCTTTACAGATATACAAACATGAATGACATTGTAAAAATATTAAATCAAATTACACAAATAAAATAAAATTACAAGTAAGAATGTAAAATACAAATACAATGAAAGACCATCAAATCTAGGACCAAGGAGGATGTTCGGGGCAACCTTGAAACCAGCCCTTATTATAGGCTTTATAAAATATAATAATGAAATGGCCGTAAATGTCTGTCTCCTTCTTTAGATTTCTCTGACTTCCAGTGCTTCGTCTTTTAACCCCCTTCTCTTGCGCTCTTTTTCTTTTCTTTACTGGGAACAGTTAAGCCATTCTGAATACAAAGTTTTGTGCTCTCCACAAATATAGAAAGGTGTTCCACTGTGTTTTCTGATGAAAACTAATGTTGGTTGTCCACAGCTGACGCTTTATTGACCAGACTTCTTTCTGCTGATTGATATAACTGCACGTAGTCCCTTGTTCTATCTCACACAGGCTCCGCCCTCTACTGGACTCTATGGGTACTACTCTCATCAATGATACGCGAGCGTTCACACACTGAAGTTGTATAAATGTAGCCGGCCAATCAGGGCGAGCCTACCTGAATGCGCGTGCAGGCTCACAGTATATAAGGCAGCTACACCTCCTGACTGTCATCCTTTTCTCTTCAGCGAGCTGGACAACACCTGAGAAAAGGATTCGAAACAAGTAAAAAGTATCTTACCTCCAGGCAAGTGAATGGAGTCGCCACTGCAGGAAACCCGGACCTGTCCCTCATGCCCGGCTTAATAGGGGGCGCCGATCCCCACCAGCTCTGCTTCGAGTGCCTGGGACCAGACCACGCCGAAGACGAGCTTGAGGTGGTGGACGTGGGAGACCAGGATATGGCCGAGGCGACGCCACCAACGTTCGCCATCCCAGCCGTGCGGGTTATGGCTCTGTTTGCTGAGGAGGAAGAAGATGACTTCGCCTCATCGGTGTCTGACACTTCCGGGTCCGGAATCCGCTCCCCCCACCACTGCCGCCGAAGCCGGTAAGCCGGTTACGGTCCGGCCCGCCCGGCGCAACCGGCTTTCGATATCTGGCAGTGTGTGGAGGCGTCGTGGCAACAGCCACTGGAAGCGAGAGCTCCGGTGGCAGGAAAGGTAGGTATTCTGAGGGTGCGGGGCTGCACAGAGACCTCATATCCCGGCGTGCCCCCCCTCGATGGGAGCCTGGCAACACATCTGCTCCCACAGGCAGCAGGCTGGGCAGAGAATCTCTGCCCCGCTGCCGCGTGACAGGGCGGCTGCAAATAACACGGGTGTGTTGGGCGTCTCGCTGATTGCTCTTCCGCAAGATACCCCCACCTCACCGGATCAGAGCGATTATTTGGCCGATGCCAAATGTATATCCTGGTCCACGGTGCCGCTGCTTGCCGTGTGGTGTCCCTGACCGTGATTTTCCTTCTGGCAGAATCTACACAACACATCAGCCCCATTGAACAGCCTTGTCGTGCCAGCCTATACAACACATGAGGGGCAGAGTTTTACTCTGTGTGTGTTGCAACTTGCATATATATTTATTGCACTTGACGCACACACACGCATGGCGTAATTTCCACTGGGGAGGCCAGCCCTGGACAGTTCCTCAGTTCTGGGAGCGCTGTCTCAGGAGGTGGTTGCAATAGGGGCGTAACACAGGAAGTATTTGCGTTTTGCCTTCCAGGGGATAGCCTACGAGTACAACAGACTACCGTTCGGCTACTCCCTGTCCCCACGCACGTTCAGCAAATGTGTGGCCACAGCGCTTTAGCCACTTCGCAACCATGGCATGAGGGTTTTATTTGATCTCAACGACCTCATAGTCATGGCCAGGTCCAGGGAATGGGCAGATGTTCCACACAGCCCAATTGATCTTCCACCTAACCAAGTTGGGGGTTTGCGGTCAATTGGAAGAAGAGCAGTCCCATACCTCACCAGCAGGTGGGTATCTGGGGATTTTGCTCGATGCAGCCCCCATCGAGAGCGAGGTGTACGCCCCCATCGAGAGAGAGGTGTACCCCCCCTCGAGAAGGAGGGGGGTACAGAACTGCCTGTGGGCGGGCGGGGAGAGCCTTTCCCCACTGGGGTCCGTGCACACGTGGTGTGGCTGTGTCGACAGCCTTGTTCGACGACTTGAGTGTGGAGGACATATGTACGGCGGCGTCTTGGTCTACGCTGTATCTGAACCCCTGGGACATAATACAATTACGTTTTCCAATGCTCCTTAGGGACCTGGGAAACGTGGTGCGCAGTAAGCCCCATACAGGGCTGGAAGACTCTCCCCGCCGGGGAGAACCTTCCCCACTGAGGTCCGTGCACACTCTACACAAGGTAAGCGTGTGAGTGTGGAGGACATAGTACACTTTACGTTTTCCCATGCTCCTTGGGGACCTGGGAAACGTGGTGCGCAGTGTGTAGTCACTTGCGCTGGCACCTGCAGGGTGGAGCTATGGGCTTATTCAGACCAATTAGGCTCTACCCAGCCAAGTAAGCTGCGGCCCCGACTTCTCCACGGTCACAATCGGGTGATAGGAAGTTGGGGTGCGATGGCTGTTAACCAAAGGCCGGTCAGGGGCAGTGTGGTGGGTCGATGTGTGGGGCGATAGGGCGTTTATTCATCGGGGCTCCACCCACTGTACCCATAGAGTCCAGTAGAGGGCGGAGCCTGTGTGAGATAGAACGGGCGTTACGTATTGTAACCCTAGTTCTATAAGCACAGGCGGAGCCCTCTACCTAGGGGCCCTGTCTTCCCTATGCCGCTCGCTGAAGAGGGTGTAGGATGACAGTCAGGAGGTGTAGCTGCCTTATATACTGTGAGCCTGCGCACGCATTCAGTAGGGCTCGCCCTGATTGGCCGGCTACGTTTATACAACTTCAGTGTGTGAACGCTTGCGTATCATTGATGAGAGTAGTACCCATAGAGTCCAGTAGAGGGCTCCGCCTGTGCTTATAGAACTAGGGTTACAATACGTAACCCCCTGATCAGAGCGTGTTCTTTAGCAACAGTCCGTTCTCGTTAGCAGCGGTCTGCTATCAAAAAAATAGAAGACTTCTGGAAAGTCCAAATGTACCAATCAGAATCGAATATTCAACTAAGCTGTGTAATATATGTAAAAAAGACATTGTTGTAGTGCATGTGATAGTGATGTAGCCTGTATAATGATTTTCTAAATTGGTCATTTAGATAAACACCTTATCTTAGCATCTAGTAAAGCTATTAACATTTGTATTTGTTTTATGCCACCAAATATACTTTCTTTATGTGTATGTTCTACTCTTACGTCTTTATCCTCCGCCTGATGTCCTTGGCTTCTTGTCTGCAGCCAGCTGTGCTTAGTGAGATCAGACACACCGCTGTCTACTTTATCCTAAACTAACACGTCTTTCTTCCTCCACTAATGGACACTCATCTATCCTCACATGGCTTATTCCCTCCCCTCTATCTATTGCTCATCAGTATTTCCTTCACTCTCCCCTCTACAGTATCTGTTACCCTCTTGTGTCTGATGGAGGACAATTAGTAATGAGTTTTGGCTGAGTGCTTTGTCTCAAAGCACAGGGGACATAGAAGGACATGGAGAGAAGTCTATCTAAATGGAAAGGAGATAAAGACTAAAGCACTCTACAATCAGCACTTATGGTTGTTACTGTAGCCTGTAGTGGGTCTGGATCTGGTCTAAATAAGCACTTCCTGTTGTCATAGATTCAACCTATATCCCACATGTTACATCCTACATCATGTGTTCGCCAACAGGCTTTTTCAGTTTTTAACCATCCATGTTCTACCATTGCTTTCCAAGATATGGCTCACTCAGCTAGGGCTTGATTACAAAATCATGCAAAGACGCCTCCATAAAATTACTTGCAATGCACACTGTAGCCTTTCATTTCTCGTTCCTGAACTACTAAATAAATAATGCACCCATGATGTATTCTGCAAAATGTGGTTCTATAGGTTTTTTAATTATCCTTAATGTGTCCATAGTTGGTGATCATCCCAGAAGCTCAGGGGGGTTAGGGTTGAAAAAGACTAAGAGTGTGTGTGGGCAAGGATTATCTTTTAATTAATTGCATTCAAGTGATAAAGTAGAACTGTGTACTGTAGGTGA